TCCAATCCGAGCGTGACTGTCGCCCCGGATCCCCAGGAATAAAGACGGGGGTAGTAGGTTTGGACCATCGGATTTTATTGGCAATATGCTATAATTTCTGACATTAGACGCCGCTGACGCTTCCAGACTCATTATAACCACAGGGGTCCTACGTGATCCGTTTCTTTTTCCTCTCGTGATTCCATTCTGATAGGAAATTATGGTTCATGGTTTCTTGCTGATAAAATCCAACGAATTTTCGGTGAAACTAATTTTCCAGATGACAATGAAAATAAAATGGCCAGACAAGGAGTACAAATATCAGTTGTTGTTCGCCCATTTGCACTGTAGTATCAACGACTCGTTTCTCGCAGACGGAAAACTCGTTAGCGGTAGGCTAGTAGTGGGTGAAAACCATGAGGAAGAGCCGGGGGGAGGGGAGAAGGTTAGCTCTTCCACACAGCCCCATGGACTACACCATTGGACAAAATGGGACAGGATTGAACAGGGTAGAGAGAAAAGTAGTCATTTTCGCTGGCTCACCTCTTCGCCGTTGGGTGATTTCTCCGGGCAAATGTACCGCGAACTTTCCTCTTTCAATTGGCAATAAGATTTGATCGTTGCGGGAAATATCATCCAATTTCCTTTTCTCCGGTAGCTGTGGTGCGCACACACCATTCGAAGAGCAGGGTTTACCCACCTCCGATTTTCTTCTTTCTTTCGCACTGTGCTCTTTGACTTTGCCATGAACGCCGTACTCCTTTTCCCCCCGCACCACCCCTCGAACATTTTGGTAACCCTCCGTAAGTATTCCTTCGGTCGCACTATATTGGCTTTGGCCAGAGAAAATACGGTGGAAAAGAGACCTTCATCCCCCTGCTTTCACTTTTTTTATGTTCCTCCATTTCCACAAGGATCGTAAGTTTCAATAAGTTTGGAGGTGAAGATAATTCATGGGTTGGCAAATGAAAGCCGCTCATCAGCTATTTTATTATCCCCACCGATCTTCTGGAAAATCAGAAGATTGAAGGGAGTAAATTGTGCGAAAGGGTTTGGGGAGAATGGAATAAAAGGGGGTGGGGATAGGGAGTCACTTGGGAGAAAGTTTCCAACCGGTGACATTAGTTTATAATTCGCCAATCCTGGATCAGTATTTGTCACGATTAGCCGATCCCGGCGTAGACAATGAAGTTTTAGTGACATAGGGTTTCTCATCTTCTTATTCAACCTCCTGCAAACGCGCACATCCACCCCCTCCCCGAGTTTTCATTAATTTCCACTGATTTCCAGGAGGCAAATTATTGTGCGTAGTTACGCACAATTTCGAATTCAACAAAAGACCGACGTTGGAGGGAGGATTTCGTCGGTGTGAATCTGAGATTGACATAGACGGAGAGTGGTGATGGGTGATNGGGGGGGGGGGGGGGGGGGGGGGGGAAGTGTACTAAGCAATTGTATGAGAAGTTGAAGGGATGTAAAGATGCATACAACCGTAGCCCAACGTTGCTTTTGGAACAAGGGGATTATAATTCTCGTGTCATTTACCCCGTTATTTAGAACGTCAACGTTTACCAGTCATACACAGTTCTGTCGTTTAACATTCCTCAGGACGTTCTCTCTCACTCTTCGAAGCGCTGATAATTAAATTTCTACTGGGGCAATAATTTACAATTCGTACACTCTTCGCTTTTATCTTATTCATCTCTCACCTTGAAAAAACAATTAACATCAGCACCTCATAACAATTCCTGTACGATGGATTTTCCAAAGTTGAGTCTCATCACCATTCAATTACTATCAATATTGAATCACATGAACACAGCTCCCGATGTACATAATTTGATACTGTATAAAAGAAGTGTATTCTAGGCTGGAGGTCCTCGGGCAGTGGCCATTTGTAAAAACGTATGTTTCTTGCAATAAATAACTTTAAAAGTTAAAGTTAAGTTTCTACTAGTGTTCTAAACCCCTCGATTTACGTGAAATTACACATCGCACGGAGAGAATATAAAATCAAACATTAATATAGGAACATAGTAATCGAGGATCACACCAGCCAAAAGTTTCAAATTTAATTTAATTTAACCGAACGTTTGTGATGTGAAATGCATTTTTTATTATTTACCATAGTAATTTTTAACGCAAAGAACAGTATAAAAGGCACGAACGAAAAGATAATTTGCAAAAGTGTTGAAAACGCTCAATTTTTTACAAATTTTCATTATTGAACAATGAAAAATTACTCAAATCCTATCAATTTTGACTATGTTGAATTGTAATTTTTTTTTACGCTTTAAAACTTTAGTTTATACTGTTAAATAAGAACAATTTAATTGAGAACGAGTGATTATTAAAAGATTTTGGAGCGAAATGAATAATAAAAAGAAATATAAAAAGGACTTCACTATTAGAGAAAAAGAATTACGGACAGTTGACTACACGGAGAGAAATTTTTTAGAAAATTTCTAGTGCTAGTACGGGAAAAGAGGCGCAAAGTGACGGCCAGAAAAAAATTCCAGTGACGATACTAGAAATTTTATTGAAGAAAACATGAATGTTTCCCCGTATTTGTGTGAAAATTTCACAGAAATCCCCAGAAATTTTACCAGAAATACCAAAAAATTTTTTCATTGCTCAAGCCCAAAAAGGGCTCTTTTACCGACGGTAGTTAAGCATGAGAAGTAGGTCTTTTTACCGTTGAGCAGTATAAAAGTGAGAAATGCACTACTTAGGAGTGAAAAAGTGAGAATTGCACTCCTTAGGACTGAAAAACGTGTGGCGCCACCCCAGCGTTAATGTACCAAAATATAAAACTACATATAAAAACTGATAAATTCAGCCAGTGAATCCCCTTCATTATCTTCAAAATTGTTAAATTTTAAATTTGAAAATACACCTGAAAATTAAAATGAAAAATAAATTATTAAAAAATCTTAATTTTGATAATAATAATATTAGAAATATCATTTCATAGAAAATTTTTTATTGAAACTCTGAAA